TGGCCTGGGTTGGAAGGGACCTTAAAGATCACCTGGCTCCAATCCCCCTGATGTGGGCAGGGACACCTTTCACTAGACCAGGTTGCTCAGAGCTCTGCCTAACTCAGCCTTGAACAGTTACAGGAATGGGGTATCCATAACTTCTCTGGGCAACCTATTCCAGAGCCTCACCACTCTTACAGTAAAGAATTTCTTCCTAATATCTAATCTAAACCTACTTTCTTTCAGTTTGAAGCCCTTTCCCCCTTGTCTTGTCACTACATGCCCTTGTAAAAAGTCTCTCCACATGCTTCTTGATGGCTCCCTTCAGGTACTGGGAGGTTGCAATTAGATCACCCCAAAGCCTTCCTTCTCCAGGTTGAACAAACCCAAATTGTGATGATATTGAAGAGGAAAAGAAGAAAATCTCCAATAAAGAGGTTTTTCAGCTGCAGCTCATAACACAGCTCTTGTTACATCACCTCACTTTATCTCTACATTAGCTTTAAACTTCAAGTTCACTGCACTGCAAATGCACCTGCGGGTGCTGCCTACAGATCTATTGCCCTGGAGTCTCCCCAGCATGCATGATGAGTCCTTCTCTTGCTCTGCCACATGTTCTCAGTATCTGCTTCCTTAACATTTCCTGAACGTAACTCCAGCCCAGTGAGCCATCGGAGACCTGTTTTCTCATTAACACCATTCTGACAAGGAAGCTCATTGAGACGCATTTTTCTTTTCCTATGTAATAAGACATTTTTTGCTGTTCCCTGGGCTAGGCCTTCCTTACATTCTTGTCTGATGTTTTTATCTTGATTGGCCATAATTACTGTGCCATCTAACATTTCCAGTTCTTTCACAAATCAATTTTTTAAAGCTCTTTGTTTTAATTCCCAAAAATTAGATGATCTCTTACAAATCTCTTTCTCTGATGATAATCAAAAATTCTACTTACAAGTAGAATAAAAATTATAAAATCACTTATATTGTTTTTTCCTTCCAAATTAGCAGATTGACCCTGGCATTCAGACCACATGGAGATCAAATCAACATCTGATCCATGGTCTCTTGAAGGCCCATGGATCATTTCTAAAGAGTCCACTAAAGATGCATAAATGCATGCCTATTTTCAGCAAGTATCAGTATCTGCTAAAATCATCAGCACTATAACAGGAGATTTTGGGGTGATCCACAACTAAGCCTGATAATCACTCAAATTAAACTGAAAATCTTAGAGTCTTGTCTGTAGGAATGTTTTCTTGTTATTATTTATACTTATTCTGCAGTTAGTAAGCAAGATAAAAAGAAAATAATCACAGAGTGAGCCACGCTTAAGACTAGACAAAGACAGGCACCAGGAACCCAAGCACACCTATGGACACAGCTTTACTCTTCAAGATCCCTACTCAAAACCCAGCCAAAATTGAGGCAGTTTCTCTTTCCACTCTCCATCCTTTGCCCACATTCTTCACCCCTAAACCTCCAGATGAGAGCTGCCTAAGTCAACACTACCCCTGAATCTGTACCTGTGGCCTCATCCCACGTTCAAAGCATCCAAAAACATCTCCTAACAATTCAGCCACCTTAAGAGGCAGTAGGTTCCTGTGGTTTTATTGGAAAACTTGAGTGCCTAAGCTTTTCTCAGTGCACAGACCAGGGATAGTTAACATCTTGCCTGAAGAGAACAAGACACTATTCTCCCACCTAGTCCATTTATGCCCATCAAGGAAACATACCCAAATTCATTCAATCTCCTCTAAGCACATGATGAACAGGAAGGATAGAAAACACTGCCATTCCCTTCTAAAACATGGTGGGGAGATGCCTCTCTCTTGCAAGCTAGCTTCTTATGCAGGCTAGCTTCTCATGCCAAAGGAATAGACTTCCCTGGACTGTTTAGACCTTCTCTCTTTTCTTGTATAAATTCAAAGCAGTATCAACAATTGGAAACTGCCTTGGGAGCTGTGGACACAATCCACAGTGGTCCCATTTCCAAATTACTATGTTGGTTAGTGACAAGGGCACCTTTTCAGCAGATGGGAGGTGGGGGTTTGAAGCAGTGCAATGAGCTGCATCTAGATCTCCTGCTTCCCAGGTAAGTGGTCCCGGACAGTACGTTATTACATGACAGCTGGGTAGCAGCAGTTCAATTTTCAAAGAGAACTGTAGAAAACTCTTTTCTCAGAGCCATTTTTCAAAGCCTCCATGCTTGAAGGAAAACTGGGCACACACATTCAAGGCAAGCTTCCACCTCCTGGAACTTGAGTTTCTCCAGGCACTTGGCACTAGAGATAGTGAATTTATCCACTCCTACATCCAGCAGAGGGAATCATGAAGCACCTCTCTCACAAACAATTTTCAGACAGCTGCTGTGGCCCTCACACACTTGGCTGACTGTGGTGAGTCACCTTCTTCAGCACTTAGGTCTCCTCCATTCACTCCATATAGCAGCTAAACATTGCTGATTCTTGGTCTGGAGCCTGGTATTGACCTTGCAGCACTGTGACACTGTTTGTTCATGTCTATGCTTCATTCATGTGCTGTACTATTGGACTAATGATTTTTTAACCAACCCAAACCATTCTATGATTCGTTGCAGAAGGAAACCAATGTAAACCCTAAAACTCCCCATCATCTGTCTTACTGCTCTGTCCTGGCCTCCAGGACACCCTATGGAACTTCTAACTAATCTTCTGAGACAGTTTTGAGGCAGTAGCATCCAAACAGTCCCAGCAGCTAAGGAACCTTGGATCCTAATGAACAAGTAAGAGACTGGTGCACTAATGAAGAACTTGAGCAGACCAACTTCCATTCTTTTCTTGTCTACAGACATCTTATACAACTAGAGGCAAATCACCCAGGACTACATTTTTCTGAAGAGACACTTATATGGGCGAGATGAGACCTTTGTTGGATTTTCAAAAACCGACTCTTTCTAAAGCTTCAGGCTCCTACTAGGTTGTTTGCCTCTTGACTTCAGAGTTCTTAAAAGATCTTAAAATTTAGCCATGCTCCCTTGCATTTTTCAGTTCTGAATACATAAAATGGAGCACGTTTAGCACAAAAGTTGGCAGAAGCACTAACAAAGCCTTAGAAACATTATTAAATATTCTCTCCCTTGTACAGTTGTTTGCATGGATAAAAACATCAAAAGGCTTTAAACCTTCTACTGACATATCACACTGTTTTGAAGGGTCCTACTCTCACGGCTGAAAAACAGGATGGCTCGTGTGCAAAACAGAAGGAAGGAGTCGAAATTTAAGAAGCTGCCAACTAGTTATTGACCAGCTGATGCCTTATGAGCCCAGTCTGTGCCTCTTTCACTACACTACCTTTTCCAAAATACATCTTAACACTCCTTTTATCAAGGGAAATTAAAATAGCCAGATCCTGACCATGCAGCTGTATGGGAAGCGTGGTTCAGCTGTGAAGTTCAGCCAGTAGTGAAATGTAGTGCAAAGCACAAACTACACTTCCCCAGAGAAACCATGAGAATATTTTTGGCTAAATTCTCCTGGTTTTCAGCCAAAATAATTTGACAGAAGAACTAAACTATCCCAGAGAACTGACACTTTACTTTAAAAAGGTATTTTGCCAGAAGTCTTCCTACTTCAAAAGGATTCTGGCTCAAGAGTTTTTGAACAGCCCTAAAGATGACTAAATAAGAGCTTTAGAAACAGTGTAAATTCACTCAAAAGTAATCAGAAAAAACAGTTTTGAACATAATGTACAGTTACAAATTACACAGTAGATTTCTGCTGCTTCCACACTGCAATTCTCTGCTGACTCTGGGACTATGCCATGTTTAAAATGCCATTTTGAACTATGAATTTAAGTTAAATATTTTCTTTCATATATTAATTCAAACAATAATTTCATTGTAACAGATACATCTAGTCTACAACATCAGCATACCTTACCGGTGCTGCATAAGTAACATACGTACATTTTAGGGATGGTATCATTGTTATAAGTGAGACTTTTAAATCAGTGTTTGTATTGTATTTTCTGATCACTGTAATGCCTTAAATGTTCGTGATCATGTAAACGATCATATAGATATGAAATATAAAAGATCTCAGCTAAAGAGAGGAAAACATAGGGCAACAGTTTTTACATTTGCCATATTTTAAAAATCTTTCAATACCCAAGGGTCAAAGTTGTAGTATTTCCAGTCCAGTTGCTCTGTTTCACTATATGGCAAGTAAAGTTGGGTAAGATTCTCCACATCTATTTGATTTTGCTCAAAAACAATCCCCCTTCAGAATTTCACTGCCTATACTGAGCACATATGTATGTATGCACAGAGGTCAGAATGGAAACTCGCAAATCCCTTATGAATCTCAATTTTTCATAGCTCATAACTGAAAAGCAGACATACATGCCCTGCTGCTTACCAAAGTATGGTTTATTCCCATATTCCTGCTCATTTAGAACAAGATTTTTTATCTTTATACATCCTTATATCTCATTAAGCATTTCTGCATAGTACTACTTCCAGCATGATTTGGTTTTCATTGAGATTGCTCTTAATTATCCAGTGGTGTAATTCCAGCTCTTACTGGACCTTCTGTCATGTTTCACTTCTGCAATGCCAGCCTTGCAGCTGTATTAAAAGATCACTTTTTAAAGCAGAAAACAGAGAACTGCCTATATCTGTTACCAGGAATTACAACCCATTAATGAAGTAAAATAAGTTTCAATTGTAGAAAAAGTTAAAATTCATATACTGTTTTGTCCTTCCCTGCTAAAAGGAAAGTGAGCTCTTCCAATGGCATTTGTACATTTTAAATACAACCCCCCTTAAACGAAACAGGAATTCAGTGATCTAAGCCACATGGGTGCTTCACAGTAGAAAGGTTCAGTGTTACCCGATAGATATCAAGCTCTTTTTTTCCTTACCTTCCCTTACTATTTGGGGATTGTCAATCATATTTTGTCTTACACAAGGCAGCCCCCTAACAAACACAGACTTTTTCCTCTACTTGCTTCTACAGAATTAAAGCATAAAAGTCTCTTACCTTATGGCTGCTGAGAAAATGGGAACTGCAGAACGCTCTGTGCCTGCAGGGACACTGCACAGATGAACCTCATTGCTGCTGTTTACAGAAGTCTGACAGTTTTTAATTTGAAAAGAGGTTGTCTTTTGCTTTTCGACAGTTCAACAAATCAGACAAAACAGTTGCAAGTGTTATCTGTAAACAGCTTCCTGTTTGAAATAGATCAGCTGTCCTGCAGGACAATAATTAGGAAAGAAGTGTGGGAAAACTGAAGAGGTCCATGATGTAAGCTTTTTATTTTGGGAATGTACTTTTTTGGGAATGCACTCTTACTTTCCCCTCCTCCTCTCTAGCAGAGAACCCCTTTTTAACCATTTACATCTATTCAGCTCTAAGTCATGCATGCACACTGCCCCAGCACAACACTTTTCTTGCTTTGCTTCAGCAGATATGAAAACATATGAAACACAGCAGCAAGTGTGAACATCTTGCATGGATAATTAACACACTCTCCCCTTACTGAAATTCTCCCTGTTCTTGCAATTGCCTGCAGCATTCTTGACTTGAGTAAAACATGCAACTATTTCAGAGCCACATCTCAACACTCCACAACAACCTAAGTGCTAAATTATCCACATGACAAGCATCTTCACAAATTATTTCATTTTGAAACACCTTTTGATATCACTTTTGTGATATCAAAAATAGCTTCTAAATAAACAATTCTGATTTTTACCTTAAACAGCTAGACTAGTTTGAGCCCTGGGTAAACCATAGTACTCCACATATGTTCAAGCAGGAAAAAAACTGGGGCCAGCTGCCTGTGGTAAGTGGGATTTTGAGAACACCCCCCACTGTTACAGAAGTTTATACTTCAACAGATATAAATGGCTTCTCTCTCAGTTTCCAGAGCAAATAGAGAGTAGCACTTATGACTATACCAATTAATACTCCCTAATGAATAGCTGCGATATTTGTAAGACAGTAGCTCTGATAGCTACAAAAAAGGCTTGTGAATTATCTGTCTGCATCCTATGACACTCTTCCTCCCTCACAGTTTTTCCAGCTAAGGTTTGAGGGGTCATGCTGTAAGCAAGCACCCAGAGGGCTGGGAGCCTGGGTAACTCCCAATATGTGACCTCTTACTAGAAGAACAGGATGGGATCTAAGGGCAGTAGCAGGAGGTTCTTTTCCATCTTCCACAGTCCTAAGATCAGGAAAGTATTAGAACACAGAAAAGGTTTTAGACTGAGACTCGAGGACGCTGCAGTAGAATCACGTGTGTGTTCACCTTATCACCTCTCAGATCCACTCTGGTTGAAGGTATAGGTCCACTCCACTGAGAATTTTGTGGTGGGGCTTGCAATACAAGCTGATGACACATGGTACTGATGCACTCTTTTCCTGCTTTGCTCACGAGATTACGTATCCTCTCTCCCCAGCCCTGGGGTGTGCAACTTCCTTACCCACCACAGCTCATGATTTTGCAGCCCACAGCAAAGCATACACTGACCAGCTTTGCTGGTAAAGACAAAAAACAGGTACAAAAAGAGGTAGTGATGTCTCATACTCAGGACTCCCTGAGGACTACCTTCATAAAGGCAGACCTCTCCTAAACCACCGTTTCAATGTTGGACTGGAACCTAGCTACCCACCTCCATTGCTACAGACTCCTGTATTTTAACACACACCAAATGGTCGTGAAAAGTTAAGAACCAATGATCACTTCCAGATCACAACAGTAAAGAAAGGACAAAATGGTAGAACATGAACATAACTGCGTAAAGAACACACAACTCTAATTTGAAAGTTTTGGGGATTTTTTTTTTACATATAAGCCCCATGAGTTCAGTGGGAACAGAAGGCAATTAGCAGGATTGGGCCCTTGCAGCACTCTGTTGGCAGCGACTTGCCAAGACAAACATTTTATGTAAAGAATGCAGCAAAGTGACTGCAGTCCAAGCCTTTGAAGATCATATTACCATGGCAAAGACAATTCCATTTACATACATATCTACTCTCCCTGTAAACATATGCAAATAACTTTGAGGCCAGAAAAAGAATTCAAGGGAGAAATGGAGCCATTCAGGAAAAGTTAGTAGAAAAGGTAGGATTCAACACTGGGGATGGAGAAGTGAAAACAAACATAAATTAACAGAATTCAAAAGGAAAGGGCAAACACTATAAATGCAGCAGAAGTGCTTTCTCTAGGAAAGGGAAAAATAAGTAAGTACATAGTTTTCTTTCACGTAAGAGAGAAAAAGGCATAGTCCCTATACAGAAGGGCATAAATAACTTTTGCCCACCCTGAAAGCCAAGTGGAAGCTGTGTAGCCATATTGCTTACATCATCTAAATCAGGCTACTCTGTGCAAACTGGTGTTCTGATGCATGGACCAAATGGGAGCAGCTCAGGCCATCAGCAGGTTGCAGTAGCTGTTGGCAATTAAGCTAAAGTTCTTTATTATGTTAACATGCCTGCCTGAGACACTGTAGCACCTCAGAGCTGATTCAAAAGACTTTCAGTCGCCCTTGCTGGATGAAGAGGGACAGCATCCAGAGGCTATGGTATACTAGCCTGCACAGATGAGCAACAAACTCCTGGACAAACTGAAACACAAAAAGGAAGCCTACACAGAGTGGAAGTGAGGACAGGTAGCCTGGGAAGAATACAGAGAGATTGTCTGAGTAGCCAAGGGTCATGTTAGGAAAGCTAAAGCCCTGAGAGAATTAAAAATTAAAATCTGGCCAGAGATGTCAAAGGCAACAAGAAAACCTTCTTTAGGTACATCAGTGATAAAAGGAAAATGTGGGTCCTCCTTGGCAAGGAAACAGGATACCTGCTTACCTGGGACATGGAGAAGGCCAAGGAACTCAACAACTTTTTTGCCTCAGTCTTCACCAGTAAGTGTCCCAGCCACACCTGATTCTCCCTTGGGTTTAGCAAAGCATCCAATAGTATCAGCAACATTCCCAATCAGATATTCCCAAGGGATGAAAATTTCCAATGCCCAAACTCCTTAATAAATCAATATCTGAGCTCAATTGCTTGAGCTCAGTTTATTGCAGGCCATCACAAATGCTGTTCTGGCTCTTGAAAGTAAGGGCTGCCTCGCTAACCAGCCCTTAGTAAGCCTCCCAGGGCACTCCCAAAATACTCCCAGAAGAGGCAGGACTCCTCCATGGTACAGACCTGCACACAGGCACACAAAGTGGAACCCCTCCTCCGCTCTCGAGATAATGATGTGTCCCATTCCCTCTGGCTTCACATAACAGTAACTGCTTAGCCATGCAAATAGGAAACTTTAATAATTAAACATTAAGATATGTCTGGTAAAAACCAGTCTGTAGATCTATCCTTCTGAAGATATCCATCCGAATCACTTTCCTTAGCACAGCCCCAACACCACTGCACCTCTGTGGGCAGGCAGACACCAGCAGCTATCCTTACCACCTCTCCTGTGCAATACGTGAGATGTATAGTGGGAAAGATCAGTGCAGACACAGCAAAACACAGCATTAATTTTATTTGCAGCTGTGTAAAATCTGGCCTTCAACTTCATTAGTGATGTTGCACTAACGTTTTTTTGGCACAAAATTTATAAGCAGCAGTAGTGCTTTTTCTGTTAGTCCTCATCTCTGAAACTGAAATTCTCTTCAGTGCTTGGATTTAATTCTATCTTTGCTGCTCCAGGGGCAGAACACAACTGAGCCAGACATGTTAACTCGATATCCAATAATGAAAAACGTTAGCTATTCATCAGTTAGCAACAGCTAGCAGCAAGTGCATATTGTTAAGATAAGAATGATTTTCCTGAAAACAAGAAAGAGTAACAGTAACTGGAAGGTAGAGGAGGAGATACCTGAACTCACAGACTGTAACAAATTCAACAAACTTTATCCTCTTGATGGTAAGACATAAATAAGATCCTTTACCTGTTGCTCTCTGCATGGAACAGAGCACTAGTACAAAGAGATTTCATGTCACTGTTCTCTTCTCTCTGCTCTCAGCAGAAGGCAGGTTTTTCACAGGAGCACTCTTAAGGCAGGGAGCAAAGGGCAGAGCAAAGCCGCTTGATTAAAAAGCAGTCAAGCAATGGCACTGATCAATGTTGCAGTCAGAGCCCTATGGAGGAGAGGAAAACTCACACTCCCACAGCCTGGCACCACAATCTTCTTTCTGTGAGGCTTTATGACTTTCTGTAATCAGTACCTTTATCTCTGTCATTCTGATACACTTCTAGTGGCCGAGATAGCACATCCCACAAAGTAGAAAAGGCCTAGCTTTGGGCATTGCTCTGACTTCCAAATGTAACCAAGGACCAAACTCAGACCTCCCACTTAAAAAATTCAGAAAAAACAAAAGCATAGGAAATAGATTATTTCAGTCCACAATGCAGGAGTGATAGGACTTCCTTCACACACTGCTGGGAGTATCGTTACACTAAAACTCACCAGTTGTTCCCACCTGCACTCAAGAAGGGCTACTCAAACATGATGTTATCATATATTACCATATTAATACAAGATAGGTTAAGTACTTAACACTCAAAACTTCAAGCAAGTTCTGCCACACTAGAATTGTGACACACCTACAGACCTTTTCAAATTAAAATCACCAGGGCACAGGCTTCCATATAGACAAAAAATATTTGAAGACATTTGTGAAAGGCTGCACATGAAATAAACAACTAAAGCTCTAATATTAGGTGGAAGGCTCAAGAGCACCTAATAGATGTAAAACCTTTCCTTGCTTCTCATTTGGGGCTACTACAGGAAAGAACTGGTCTTTTCATACTGTTCAATATATGGCTGTCTCTTCACATTGATATCACTCACATACTACGGCTGCACAGGGTCTTAGTACAGAATGCCCCCATTTTCACCCAGAGCAGCTGATAAAACTCAGTGAGGAATCACACGGTCAGAGTTCAACTGTGCCAGTATATGAAAGATATAGGAAAAAGTCTAGCATCATCTCACATGGAGTCTGCTTAGGTTAAGGTAACATTTGACGCTAGCATTCCAGCAGCCTCATTAGCACTTGACCAGATGGTATCAACTGACTTTCCAGATTGCAGGCATGCACTTGATATGCTTGTCAAGGGACAGAGGGAATTGTCTGACTGGATCGCTGACACAAACACACGAGGGAGTCTGTGAATGAAGGTAAACTAGGACTAAAGTCTTTTGCAAAGCACACAGCCTCGTATTTTTATGCCACAAATATCCACCTTTACTTGTAGCTTAGTTGATGTAAAAATCATAAAGGGTTTTGACAGTGTTATCCTTTCACTCAAAGAATTTGCTTATGGGGCCATCATGGGCCTTTGCATTTCATATAGTTCAAAAGGGCTTGCAACAAGAGCCAAGAAAAATCTATAGCCAGCTGGCAATGCCTGGGAACATTTGCAAGCTTTACATTCAGTTTACTAGATTTCTCCTCCCCCACCTACTCCCTCCCAGTACTTCAAAAGAAACTCTAATAATATTTTTATTATGATGAAGAGATCAAATCTGAGTTACATTTCACCACGAAATAAGAAATGCTGTCTACTGAAGCCTGCTGAGGATCACCTCTTCTTGCAGAGGTTACACAGTCCCAGCAGACTCACCAACCTCTAACTAAAGATAGTTAACATCTGGTAAGCCTCCAAATACTCCCCAGACTGCTTCTTCCAACCCACACCAGCAAAGATCTATTTGCACAGCCTGCCATCTGTGACTGTTGTAGCAGGAAGCTTAGTAATGTCTGACTCAAGACTGGAATTATTTTGGGAGGACTGGAGAGGGTGGCATTTCCAACCTAGGAAATATCCATTTTAGCAGTGAAAATTTAAAATTCAAAAGTTCCGGCACTCCTAGTGTAAGATCTTTTACAATTATTCTCCACAAAAGGAGACAGGATTTGCAGTTCTTCTATACCTACAAATCCCCTCATCTAATTCTAAGGGAAGCAGATGAATTCTCTTCTGCTGAATCATTCCAGACAAACAACAAATAGTCAAGGAATAAAGAAGGAATTAAATTATCCTCCAGAGACATAAGTTTGAA